TCTGGCAAACCAATTTTTGTTTGGAGAAGGGTCCTGCTACATCTCCAACAGACACTACCTCTCTTCTCACAATATTCATCTTTAATTCTCACAACAATCTTAATTCACACCAGAAAATTGAAAGAGAAACAAGTTTAGGAGGAAGGGGAACGTATGCATGTGACACAAACAGGACAAGGATAGAGATTGAGAAAAATTAGGACTAAAACTTTCACAACATCAAATTTCAGGTTAAACTTGGAACCTACTCATCCTAATAAAAGAAGTTACCATTTTAATCGGCACCTATCCTCCCATCCGCAAAATTATGATAATCACCAGTATTTTCCCACATGTTATTTTCTCTTGACAACGTATATGACTAAAGAAAGACTTCCATCCTGTTGGCCCACCTCTCTCTTTCTCTCTCTCTCTCTCTCTCTCTCTCTCTCTATATATATATATATATATATATATATATACATTCTTTGTAAAATGATCAACAACATATGGATGACTAAGGAAACAAAGAACTTTTGGTAAAGTCAAAATCAAGGAATTGATATTTACCAAAATATCCAATTTTCAAATTCTTGAAGTTAAAAAAAATATTAATATTTTTAATTTTTAATTTTAAAATATTCAGTAGTTCAGTTTTACTATTAAAAGACTGAACTACTGAATTTTTAAAAATTAAAAAGCTAAGCTGAATAATCAATTCATCCGAACTTTCAATTTTTCTAGTCATATTATGTAACCGAGTTCATCAAAATGCTAGTTTTTGTTATATGGAAATCAGAACAGAAACGGTTACCAGTCAGTGAGTCAGTCACCACCATTGATGCACAAGAACTCCACTCTTTCTTACAGACTTAAAAAGCTTCAAGCACTGAGCATACGCCTTTCCAAACTTGTTGCTCCCAAGCAACCCGCTGTAATGGCACTCCAAGATTAATTCGTCCACCAAACAAATTGCTCCTGTCTCCATCATGCTCTCAATCAACTGAAACTCTATCCCTTCCACATCCATCTTCACCACCACGAAATCTTTTGCTGAAAAACAACTCTTCAACCATTTTGCAAAATCAAATCCTTCTATCTTCTCTGTTTCAGAAATGAAACTCATCGATGACTCCACCTTTTGTATCCTCTCCTTCTTCTCTCCCTCCCTGTTTTGCCTTCTCGCGTTTCTGGTGATCTCGAAAAACAGGGTCTCGTTTCTCACCCACGCAGTGTATGGCAACAGAGTAATCCCTTTCTTCGCCTCGTACTCTTCTTGAAAAGCTTTGTCACCTTCTATGGCGTAGATTTCGAAGGTTTTGTTCTGTCTTGGATACTGTTCCTTGAACCAGCTGCCTATGCTTGAACTATAACTCCTAGCTCCAACATCTATGTAAATATACTTCCTCTTGAAGCTGATATCCACCATTGAAGGAAGGTACTTAATGTTCTTTATGTTCCTCCTAATTGTAATACGTGGTTCTCGCTTGATCAGCGGCTCTGCTTGACGGATTATTTTGCGTTTATACGAGGGAACACAGCATTTGTTACCTGAATCGCCATTGCCAGATTTTGAGTATCTCTGTTTAAGACTAACTCCATCCATTTCTTTCCTCATCACAATTTCGCGGATCGTCGTCCTATCAGGGCCATCGATTTCGCGTTCCTTGATCAGCTTGCAACAGTTGAATAAATCAAGTAAAGAGTGTAGGCTATACAGATCTTTAGCCTTTGTGTGAACCACTAAGAATCCGCCCGGTTTCAGAGTCCGCCCTATCTCAGACCCTAACTCAACGGGGTGGATTGTCTGGTCCATGCCTCCGTTGCCGGAAAACACGAAATCGAACGAATTGTCATCGAACGGTTGCTGATGAGCCTCGCCGGACAGAATTAAAGGCGGGGAGTCCTCTCTGGATATCCCTATTGCATCCGAGACGCCGATTTCTCGCAAGGCAAGGATGTCTTCTCCGTTTCTTGTGTCGATACACAGAGTTTTCGCGTCCGGCGAGAGGTATCCCTCGGCGATTAGGTCTTGAAATACGGTCGAGAAGTAATCGAAAAGTTTTCTTGATTTCCTCGCTGATTCCATGAGAGTGTGGGACGAGGATGAGGAAGGAGAGAAGACCCGTCCGGGGACGCGAAGGAAGCAGAAGTCGACGGAGTAGCACGAGCCGCCTTTGACAGTCACAAGGTATGCGAAACGAACGGCGAATATGAGAACAGCGAAGGAGAGGGCGCGTATGAGAATGTTCCTTAGAACGATGGATTTCAGTGCTGGTAGAGCCATGGATCGTTAAAAGAATCAAATTAGTTTGGCGCGAATGGGTAGGATTTGCAAATAAGGTTACTTCTGGAGGGTATAATGGGAAATCGATGCATCTAGAACCCAGGAGGAATCCATCGGACGCAGTAAGAAGAGCCCGAGAATACATGTCAGTTTGGGCTCTGGGTCGGTTTACTGGTCTTTTTACAGTAAAACGACGACGTACTGCTATGGGACTGAAGTCACCTGACGAAGCGGAGAGGCTGTCAATGACACGACCTTGAGACCAAGCTTTTATATAAAAGGATCTATGATTTTTTTTTTCAGAATTACAGAATAAAAGACCATTTTCCATTACCTTAATGATCATGGGATATTGATGATTTACCACCACGCCTGCACAAGATCAATTTGGTCTAAAATCCCATTGGAACTGCGGGATAACCTTTATCATTACAGAGAAAAGCCATGGTAGCTATGCTTCCCAGATGACTAACTGTGTACATATAAAGCATAAATACAACTAATAGTTACACAGCTGACAAGTCCGCACTAGTAGTAAATCAACCATGGCAAATTTTCAGCACTTCTTTCTCTATGCAACAGTCACACGTGCCTCCAACTAGAAAACTTTGAAGTCAGGTCTCCCAATCCTTCAACTTCTTGCTTCCTTTGGGTTTTGCTATGGGTGCATTGATTCCCGCCATCTTTGCATTATACTTAGCCCTAAGAGGATCATTATACGTCCATCTGCAATACCCAATTAACACAGTCAACAAACATAATCTCCACAAGAACAATCAAGTACAAAATATATCAGCCAACTAATGGGTTCTTTAGTTAAAAAGCAAGGATGCATTGAAAGAAGGAAAAAAAAATTTAGGGGGAATTAAACTTACGGATTGTTCCAATCAGTTGTATCCTCATTGACGAGATGAGTCCATTTTGTCCTCCCACTACGACCAAAGTGTTTGACCTGCATGACCTTTGGCAATATAGTCTTGTCCATCTTATCTTCTCCGGTAGGAGCAGAGAAATCACGCTGGTATATACCATCTGATCCAACAGTTCCAGCAAGGTCATCAGCATCTGATTGGAAGAAAGCACCCTTGTGGTAGTATTTCTGCATAAACCTCCACTTCTGCTTTGATGGGGGAACAGGCTTTGGATTCTTCCTCTCCCATTCCCTCCTTTCTTCCTCAGTCATGTTCCTTACCTTCTCAATCTCTTCCTTTGCCTTTAACATTGCCTCACGGTCCTCCCTATCCCTCTTGATCCGTGCAATCTCTCTTGCTTTCCAAGCTTCATACTCCTCTGCCTCGTTAAGTTCATCATCAGTATCCACATCAGCAACATTTGCCTCCAATTCCATATTCTTGCGAATCTCTTCATCTTTCCGTATCTCTTCAACAACTATTTGCTTCGTCTCTACTTTTCTCTCCTCTAGCTTCCTCTTGGCTAATTCCTCAATGGCCCGCTCTTCAGCTTCAAGTCGCTCACGTTCAGCAATAGTCTCTCTCTCAGCTTTCGGCACAAAGATAGGCTTGACCATTGCAATACCTGGCAGTTCTTCTTCTGAATCAGTCTCATACTCAGATTCCTCTTCCTCCTCTTCTGGCTCCTCCTCCTCTTCTTCTGGAAGGAGGGCAGCCTCTTCTTGTTCCCTTTGAAGCATCTTTTCCCTAATTCTTCTTCTTCTTTCTTCCAATGCATTCTCATCCTCTTCCTCCGCATCCAGTCCCTCTTGTCTTCTGTTTTCCTCTTCTTCTGTTGAAACAATCTCAGCTTGTCGAATGCGCCGGTGATCAGCTCTCACTTCTTCACGGTTGTCTATTCTGCTCTCAGCCAAACGACGCAGCCTTCGATCATCTTTCCTGACAACACCTGAATCTTCCTGACTAGGGAAAGCTCTCTCCACAGCAGCTGCCCTCTGCATCCTAATATCCCCATCTTCATCACCCTCATCAGCCCATTCAGGAGCTTTACCAGGCCAGTACCTCTTTACTTTCGTCTGCCCAATTTTACCTCTTAGCTTATCCCTAATTGCTATTATAGTATCACTAACACCTGCCGTGACCGACATTATTGCAAATGACAGGGACAGGAAAAGAATTAAGAAAAACCGAACAAAATGTACAAAGGTATTCCTTCTTCCTTGCTTCAAATCCTCACTTGTAGCATACAGTGTTAGAGTTAAATCCTCAGGGTAATTACACACCCTGAAATTTTAAACAAACAAAAAAGGAAAGGATAAGCAAGACAATCCAAGGATTCAAAGATATACCAGTTATTACCCACTGGAATAGTAACCAATTATTACCCAAATATTAGTAATAATTCTGTTGTGAAGACAAAATCAAGCATGTATTAGAATAATAATATTTTAATCAGCCCAGTTTCACCAAAAAGAAATAAGAGAAAGAAATGATAGAATCACAATAATAGAGGCTCTACAGCTGCCTTGGCTAACAAGTAAGATTTTCGTGTCGAAACAGGAGTTGAAGTGAATTGGATTGGTGGTTAGAAAGAGATGAAAATAGATAAAACAGATGCTTACAAACACCGGAAAGGTCAAGAGTAGCAACAAATCAACAATTCTTTTATAGAAAAAGAAGATGAAAATAAAGCCAAAAATTAAATGAGGAAAACAAAGCAAATGAAAAAAATTAATACAAAATGGTATGCTAGTTCTTTTGTAATAATGGCAAAGAGATATCTTTCAAGCATCTGTGAGCCTTAGCTCACAAATAAGCAAAGAAAGTCAATCTTCCCAAAGAATCAGAGGCAGGTAACAGTCTTGGAAGATTCTAGAAAGCATCCACAATGGAAAAAGGAGCACGTCTTCAAATGATTCTGGCTTCTTTCTTTGCCCCAACGCCCTTAAAGAAGATATGCCAAAAAACAATCAACAAGGGATACTCACAACATGTGAACGGTATTCAAAAGCATATTAAAAGATCCCAAGCCCACAACTACATCTGCCAACTTGCAGCAAGTAATTTGTGTTAAGTCTGTCAAGAACAACATGTCATGAATAGAGCAGCTAGAGGACGAGAAATCTTGTTCATTAAGTTAGTTATTAACATTCAAAGTATTTCCTTTGATTGTAGTTGCTTTTCCATTTTAATATGACTGTTGTTTGGCGATATCAGAAGGCTGCAGAGACAGACTAGAGCACCAGCTGTCCCTGGACACTAGGTGGTTACATTATGCTACCAATACAAATATTATACCTAGATGATGTCCATCATTGAAAAAAATCTATCAGAACTATTCCTATTCTCTCTACAGTCCTATTCTTCTCTTATCTCCTTCTCCTAACCTGCATCCCTAATCTCTTCTTCCTCACCACCATCCTCCTTTTCTACTGTTACTAACCTCACAAACAAGACCTCAGGCCAATATTGGCCACGGTTATAAATCCTGGGATTTCCCTTTGGTACCACAACCCAGTATAAATGAACTTAAGTGTCCCTCTAGCTTACTAACTAAAGAACAATATTGGTTTTCACTGTTCATTTTTTATCCCTTCAAAGGGTTTTTGACTATTATGTCCCTTTAAAATGTCTAATGGTAGTGTACTTTTCAGTGGTCTGACAACATGGCAGCAGATCTGACTGAACTTGGTGAAAATCCTCTTTCAGCGGCTAAGCAAGTGGAGAACAATGGAAAAGCACTTGGACTCGCTTAAGATAGCACAAACGGAAGAGCCTATGAAAGATTTCACGACTCAAATCTACGGCCCCCTGAATACCAGACTCCCCAAGAACAATGCTTAGCTGCAAGGGCTGTTGATTGAGACTAATATAATGAGCCTGCAGCAACCCAACCACCCTTCCCCTCAACATAACAAAAACCTCCCACACACAAATCCAAACCCCAAAACTACCTCACACTCTCCCAGCCAAGTACTAAACTCATACACACCGACATCCTCTTGAGCACTGTTACCAAAACCCAAAGGAAGAGAAAAGGGTAGCAGCAGCTGCTACAATGGGGGATGATGCGAGACAAAACTCTTGAAAACAAAAAGTTATGTTAAAAAACAAAGTCCCCACAGATCTTATTATAGGCGAGATTAGATGCTCAAAATGTGCACTAGTCTTCTTATTCAGAATTCCGAATCAAAATTTTACGAGATGGAAAGGTATTAGGCACCTACTTTGTGGCGTATGCTAGCAATTCTGACAAGTAAATGTTAATAAATGTCACAATGGTAACACGAGCAAAACTTCACAAAATAATAGATATGAAAATAGAAAATAATAGATATGAAAATAGTAAGAGTCACCACCGAATCTATAAGAAGCAGAATTGGATGCTAAATAATGCACTGATCACATCAGAAATTCTAAGTTTGAAATAGTACAATGCAAGATTGTTAAGGCACCAACTCTGTGGTGCAGACTAAGTGGCTAAATGTGATTTGCATTTATTTCCTTTACTAATGTCTTAATTTATATGATGTATGTGAGAGTGACATGAATTTATGATAAAAAAAGTCTACTAATTACGTACTTGGAAATCATATAGGGGGGAGGAATCAAATACAAATATTAATATAAAAGACAAATTGAAAGTAAATTACAAGGCCTCAACTCCTTTCCTTACAATGATTTACTTCATGATTCCTTAACATTTCTTCTTCATGGGGGGGGGGGGGGGGGAAATGAATTTGCACCAATTACTCCTTGCTCTCAAGGGAGTCAGTAAGACCCCCCCCATCCCGTTCGGTATGACTGCAGTTTGGGTTGCTGAGCATGCCATCTCTGAGATGACTCCCATCACGCAAAATCGCCCCTACAAATTCGAATTGGCTCCGATTATTTTCTCTGGA